CCAGGCCCCGGCCCGCCCCAGCCCGGCACAGCCGCACATGCCAGGCCCCGCCCTGCCTCGCCACACGCACCGTGCCCGGGCGCTGGCACAGGGCGACGTCCAGGCAGGGGGTCCTGAGGTTTCTGAGAGGGGCTAGGAGCCAGGACGCCTGGGTTCTGTCCTATCTCAGGGAGGGGAGTGGGGTCTAGAGCAGGGGTTCGTTCTCAAACTGGGGTCAGGACCCCTCAGGGGACCGTGAGGTTATTACCTGGGGGGTTGCGAGCTGTCAGCCTCCACCCCAAACCCCGCTTCCCCGCCAGCATTTGTAATGGTGTTAAATACACAAAGACGTGTTTTGAATGGATAAAGGGGGTCACACTCAGAGGCCTGCTGTGTGAAAGGGTCACCGGGACAAATGGTTGAGAACCACGGGGCTAGTGGGTTTGCAGGGGAAGTGGGAGTCAGGACTCCTGGGTTCTAATCCTGGCTGGGGCTTGGGGCCTGTCCTTTCCCTCGCCTGGGCCAGGGGGATGAGCAGCCAGTCCCTGTTCCTGCCTGGGCTCCCCAGCGGCAGACGTGGCCAGTCCCTCACCCCCGGGCTCTCCCTGGCTGTTGCAGGAGCCGGCCCACCATCAAGGACTGTTTTGCCAATCCCTGGCTGCAGGACGCCTACCTGATGAAGCTGCGGCGCCAGACCCTGACCTTCACCACCAACCGGCTCAAGGAGTTCCTGGTGGAGCACCAGCGCCGGCGCGGCGAGGCCGTCACCAAGCACAAGGTCTTACTCCGCTCCTACCACGGCTCCGGCAGCCAGCCGCCCCCCGCGCCGGTCACGCAGTAGCCCCGCCACCTCCTGCGGCGACGGAGGAGTCGAAGGAACATTCCAGGGGCCGGGCCCGCGGCGGCAGGTTCCCGGAGGCGGGAACGGGGGTCGAGCAAACCGCCAGGACGTGCGTTGGCGTCCGCCCCGCGAGCCTGGCCGCTCGGGACCGCAGAGGAGCGTTCACCCGGGCACCGCGGGCCCCTCCGCCCAGCAGAGTCGGCACCGCTGGGGGCTCACTGCTCCCGCTCCTCCTGCGGGGGGCCTGCTGCAAGGGGCGGGACTTCCTGTTTTGCTGTGCCTGAGGACAGGAAATGCTACGCGAACAGCTGGACTTCCAAGACTAGGGGCTGGCGGGCTGCGGGGGGAGGGGAGACGGGAGCCCAGCAGCAACCTCTGCGGCGTGTGAAACTGTGAAGGGGGGAGATGGAGGGACGGGGGGCAGGAAACAGGAGCCGTGATGATGGGAAGCCGCCAGCATCGCCTGCCCCGGGTTTGGGGGATCCCGGCCCGGCCCGCAGGGTTCCACCGCCGGCAGCCGGCTCGGCACGCCTTCTCCCTCCAGCGCCACGCTGCCCACGTGCCCTGTGACCGGAGCTGGGAGGAGCAGAGCCGCGTCCTCGGGGGCCCTGGCAGCGCCCGGCCATGCCGGACGTGGGTAAAACCCCTGCGTTAGTGTCACCGTGGTGCTCTCGGCCTCCTGCACCTCTCGGGGGCGCTGTCTCCCCGGTTTGGCTGCCAGCCCCGGCCCCGCTCGCCGTCCTCGCCCCCCGCTGGGCTCCCTCCCTGCCCCACACGCCCCCAGGCTGCCAGGCCATTTGCTGAATATAGCTGAGCTGGTTGTGCGACCCCCAGCCTCCAGCGCCCCCTGCCCCCCCCAGCTCGGCCCCAGAGAGTGGCCACAACCCACCTGCATGGGGCGGGGGGGCCGTAGGGTGTCCTCCAGCCCGGGGAGGCCTCACTGCAGGGGGGGTGGGGTGGCCATTTTGACTGAGGGCAGCCCAGGCTTCAGTTCCATGGGAAGTCAGGGAAGCTGGTGGCCATTCTGGATGAGGGCAAACTGAGCAGCCCCCCCCTCCCCTTCCTCCCCCCCGGGGGGAGTGCTAGGGGCGCCCCTTTGGTTCTGGCCCCATATTTGCACAGAAGAGCCCAAACCCCCCGATTC